CCTTCTGAATGCTGTACCCCCCTGAGCAGGTGAATTTCCCGTGGTTCAAAAGCACTTATTTATTTTAAACAAAGCTACAGCAAAAATTGGTGGCTGTGGTTGGAAAATATTCTAACAAAATATGAATGTTTTGAAGTATGTCAACAGTGATCAACAGGGTCCCTAAGCCCGTACAGATTTTCAGTCTGAAGAAAGGAAGAGTCCTTAAAGGGCCGAACTGGATCAATCACACCTGAATGCATCCACCAAAAGGATACAAGGGGCTTGCCCTATGCTGTTGATGTCTGAAAACTCTTCTAAATGCAGGTATTCTGGTTTACTTGTTTGTGGGGGGATTTTTGCAACTATGAAAAAACCCCTTTTTTTCCACACTTTTGAAATTTTGGAGAAGGATGTGGTTTTCCTTCTGATAAGAGGTCTAGAGAGTCTTTAGAAGGACATTTTACCTTGTTTAGTTCTAGGCTTGGTAAATTGTCTCCCTGTGTATTCCCTCAAGAGGCACCTAAGTGTTTTTTCTTTGTGAAATGGTCTCAAAGAACACTGATAAATGATACAATGATGTTCCTTATACCTCTCTTTCCTTCTCTCCCCTCCTTCTTCCCAGTCATGCATATGCTGTAGTTATGTTTGGAGTTGCAGGGGCCTTGTAAAGTCTAGTAGAGTACGTGGATTGTGCCACATTATTACTTCTCTTCTGAGGAGCAACAGTAAAGGAAATGCTGAGGGATTTTTTGTTTCTTTTGCTTTCAACGAATGACGGTAATTTCTTGAGCTATTCATGCTATACAGGCACCAGTCTGAATAAACATGTTACTTACAAGGTTAATTGAATGTATCGGCTGTTGGCCATACAGCAAAAGTTTTCAGGTCCTCAAATGAGTGGAGTCACTAAAAAATCTCTAGAAATATCTCTTTATTTTGTATGTGAATATCACCTACTGGGAGGCTGGGGAATAATTTTTATTTGTACGAAAAAATTTCTTTTGATCACCAGTGCAGGTCAAGCTTGTAATGAACAAGTAAAAAAGCAAAGCATTTTTTAACTGGGTAACCTTGTAAATAATGAAGTGAGACTGACAGCCTTGTTAACGAGGGCTCGTATACAGCAGTACTGTAATTAAAAAATGGAAATTGATGTTCCCCTCTCTTTATTCAAACATGTGGTATAAACAGAGAAGGAACCTACAGTTCAAATTCTCTCATTCATGGAAGCATTGCTGCATTGGTTAATTTTTTCTTTGTAAAGTTCATTTGCCTGGAAACCTTAAAATCAGTGAGCTAACAGTTGCTTTCCGTAACCTTCCTCTAAAATCTATTGTATTTCTGTGGAAGGTTTGCAACTCTGACCCCCATCCCCTACCCACCCCCCTGAGATTGTGCTCACAAGCAACACACTGTAGGACCTCAAAGACATTTCCTATAGTGGTCAAATGTACTGCAGACTCTATGACAGTGACCATGGAGGCCCTTCCCTCAACTTTAACTGGGCTCTGTTGCTCTTCAGGAGACCAGTGCCCAGCCCCAGAGGAAATTAAATGTCCTTAACTAACCAACACTTGGGTATTTCCAAAGGCTGGCTCATTTGACTCCTGTTGTGTTTAGAAAAGTCTAGGTCAGCATGGAATAGAGGCAAAGCAAGACAACATATTGTGATTCTGAGAAAGATTCCATCAGTCCCTCACAAAAATGAGCTACAGCCCTGAAGGCTTTGGAAGTAGCTCTTGAAAACGGGTGGGAAACCTCCTACTGTCTCTGTTCAGACTCAGCAAAGTTTCTGAGCTGATGCTGCCTATCCTGATCCAGATTCTCCTCAACAGAGCTTGATTTGAGCAGTGATTTGCCAAATATGCTGATCTGGATTACCTGCCTTACTTTAAGGAGTACATTACACTCATTTCCATATATTCCCATATATTATGACTTAAGGGTGAAAAAGGACCTGGGTAGTTTCTTTTTGTTTTCTTCTTCAACAAAGCTACCAAGAAATCACAGCATAAAAGTACTGTTTTAAGTGATGTGGTTATTTGTGACTTGTATGAAAAAATTTCTTTTGATCACCAGTGCAGATCAAATAAATAATGACCTTTTTTTATATATATGTCTAGAAAAAACAGGCATGGTTGTTTTAAATTTTTTTAGCATCTACTTTAAATTATTATGCAAGACTGCATACCCAGTCTTGCACACAGACTTTCATAGCAAGAGTTGTTTTGTTGGTTTTTTTCTTGTTGCCAATTTGAAATGGATGTCTAAACAGTATTTATTTCCCTTTAGTGATGTCAACAGCCTAGCTGGCAGAAATACCCATTCTGAAAAACCTTCTGAAGCCCTTCTGTAAGTTTCATTGGAGTTTCCTTTCAGTGGGAAGTATTATTTTGAAATATTTTGTTAAGTACTTATGTTTGCAAGTGTTTTCTTTCGGCAAGCAGGGCGGGCTGGGTGTTGGTGTGGATGGTTTGACACTCAGCCCAGCCTTTGGGAACACACTTCTGTTGCTCTGCCCCTCTGTTGTGGAAAGGGCATTTTGATTGCAGTGGAAAGAGTTGCTCCATGTGATTAAGAGTAATCCTTTGTTGTTGCTATTAGGATAGCCTGGAGCTTAGCTTACACCTGGTGAAACCAGCACCGTTTTTCCAAAGAGCCCATCGTAGCCATGCACGTTATGTCTCTGTGAGCTGTGGCAGGTGCTGACTCAATTCATGCCTCTGCTCTTTTTAACTAAAAAATTTTGTGAGATGTTATGGTGTGTTTATCTTACTGTGATGCTAGAAACACTACAAACACCTATTCAGAAATGGTATCTCAATATTATTTTGAATCTTGTTATTCTGTGGGTTTCTTCCTTTTCCTCAAGGCCAGTCAGCATTGCTTATCATAACCCTGCTGCTCAGACCTTCAGCTGGGGAATCTCGTCTTGGAACCTGAAAAACAGGCCTCTGGTCTGCTTACAGCTCTGGGACAGAGAGTGAGAGTAAACACTGCTTGGTTTTGTTTGGTTTATTTTTTTACACAAGTGTTAAAACTGAACTGCTGCCAAGCAAGGGTTGGGAAGAGAAAGTGTCTGAAGGTAGATAAATATCTAGTAGTTCTATTTCTAAAAAGCTTGATAAGCAATGCCCAAAAACCTCCATGCTGCTGAAATCTGTCATGCTAAACAAAAATCCCAGAGAGGCTTCAAAAAATGATGCTGAAGTCAGTGTCTGGTTAAAACTTGTTCTAACTTGGACATACTTTTTAACCAAGGCAGTTATAAAATTTTTCTACTATAGCTTCCTTGGGCTCCACTGAAGAAGTTTTTGCCATTGCTGCTCTCAAAGGAAGCCCTTCTAATTGAGTCTAACACCACGTAGACAACTTCTCAGAGCTTTTACCTGCAGCCATTCCAGAGCCCAGGTGGAAGGGCTGTGAAGGTGAGCATGACAAGCGCTTGGTGTGCAGGCTGGTGGTGGGAGAGGAAGGTAGTGGAGTAGTTCTGACCTTATTTACAGCCTCACTGATGGAAAGTGAATAGGGGGAAACAAGAACGGACAAAAATGCCTCTTGAGAAGAAAGAAGTATTTTGCCATTTTTCCTAAGTCTTGAACTAGCCCTTAGCATTATTGTTATACCTTTACCTTTGTACAGGAACAATATCATGAAAATGCTAAACCAAAGTTACTTCTTTTATCCCTTCATATTCTTAAGTTAAGACTCATTAAGAGTCAATTAGAATTCATCTTGAAACACAGCATATTATACCAATACTGCTTTTAGTACCATGGAAACTTTTTTTTTTGGTAGGGATAAGCCCCATCAACACCTTGCCCTGTTAGAAATGCTGGACTGGGGTGGGACTTACTCTGTAAAGCATAGAGCCAGCTGATCCTGTATGTTCCAGGGGTGGATACTGATATTTGCAGGTATAGAAATTATGTATTTAGTATAGGCATTTATTGCTAGGATAAATTAAAAAGAAAAACAACTTCTTCACTTTTTTAAAATCTTTATTGGGTCACAGACTATGATAACAAGTTACACAGTAAAGTGCAGCTCAGGCTTTTGACACTCCTGTTGGATTTCTAGGCACTAAACACGAGTTTCTACTTCTCTACAAAATGTTAACCAGTTTACCATTAAACAAGAAAAAAAAACGGAAACAAACCACCATTTCAAACCCTTCAGTTCTTCATGCTTTCAGTATGCACTGAAAGCAAAAACTTCATGTACCTGTGCTTGAATAAGACTTCTTCATCAGAAGTGTTAGTCTGTAGGTACTGCACAAGGCACAAGGTTATTTGTTACTGCCTTGTGGAGCTCTTGGTTAGAGCAAGAGCAACCTATTCTTATCCTTTGTTCCAGAACAGCAGCACAACAAGTGGCATGGTAAAACTTCTCCGACACCAGTTAATACTTTAAATAGTTATTACTCTTAAAAGTGCTAAACCTAGACAGGCTAAATTCTTGTTCAAATATCCAGAAGTAAAAGACAGTATGATAAAAGATTCACTACACATACAGGAAATACTCTGAGGGTGCTTAAGATGATCTCCCAACAACAGATTCCATAACACCAGCACCTAGGAAACAGTGGTATATGTTTATTCACTACACTTAATTTCATTCAGAAATATAAACTTTTCAGCTGGATTTTGGAATGATAATTTTTTTCCTTAGATAATAAATTGCTTCTCAAAAAAGCTGCCCTCCAAGCTACTTTATATTGTAGTAACTCATAGATTAAAATCTTCATTCAAAAGATGAGGTCATGCTGCATGAATTTTAAGGCACATGTATTAAACCAAGTTAAAATGCTTTATGTATCCAAGCTTGGTCTTTTTGATGTGCTTGCAGCAATACAGTGGTCTGTCCTTTAAAATAAGTTGACAAAACAAAGTACAAAGACCAGGCTTTCACAACAACAACGCCAGTACTGTAGAGGAAATATAGTAAATTTAAATCCTATTGCAAAACAGGTGCAAGTTGCCTTGTAGCTGTCAATTAGCTGTAGAAGAAAAATCCTCCTCATGAAAAGGTAATTTTCCAACCATTACTACCAGATGTCAGTGACAGAGTATACAGCCTGTGTCACAAACTGCAGAGAAGCAACTTTCAGCTTATTGCATAATTAATAGGATTAAACTTTGGCAGTGCCAAGACTGAAAGGCTGAATTTCTACTTATCTATCCACAGAGGCCTGTGAATTTTAATTGTTTTGCTTAGTATGAGGAGAGTTGCTTGGGTAGAAGGGCACTGCATCATGCAGCAGGAATGTAAATTAGATAATTACAGCACCTAGACATGTAAGTGAGGATCTTTTCTGAAAAATGAGGATGAAGAATGTGAGAAGTGACGTCTTCCACTGTCTTCTAGTACTGCTTCTTGGCTGAAGGTTTGTAAGCCACCAGAAGACCAAAGGAAGCATACCCGAAAAAAAGGGTCTGAACGAACCATTGGAACTGAACTGACGGGTCAGTGATTCCTTTAGATCTGCAACATTAACAAAAGCATAAAATGGGTCAAAAAACTTATGTTCCTGCAGACTAGACTGTGATACTCACAAAGTGAGGTTAGATATGTCTACCCATCCTGGATATTCAGACTTGATTAGAACATTTCAACTTAGCATCATTAATTCCAATCTATTGAGAGCTGTTTCCTGTGCTAACTGAACATACCAGTTCTTGTGATTTTAGTGGATTTTAAGCTACCTACAGAAAAAAAGTTCTTTCAGACGTTTCATCCTTATAATTTCCTCAACAATATATAAATTGCAACCTCAGTCTATGCTATTTGAAATGACTTATCCTATAACAAATCCTATAAGAAACTGGAGTAGCCTAATACTAATCTTAATACACAAGTCTGAATACAATTTCCTGTTGACTGTAGTAATTTAATTAATTCATAGTAATTAAATATATATTCGCTTATTAATAAAACAATTACTACATAATAAATAAGTCAGTTAATACATACTACTGTATACAAGCAGGGCAGAGACCTGACAAATGCTGTGCAATGCAGGATGGAGAAGCACTCTTATCTAAATTTGTGGCTAGAAAAATACAGGTAACAGGGCTGAAGACACCTGACTTAATTTATGAAGTAGAAGTTTTCCTATGTTAGTTAGTTTTAAGTTAACATGTATGAATTTTTTTGTCTTTTACAGAAAATGTCACTTTTTTCTCCACTTCATTGTTCTTGGGAAATACTACTACTGAAAGGAACACGTACAAATATGACAACAAAACCAAAGGATTTCACATTTCTAGTAAACAAATTCATCAAGCATAGCTGTGGTCCACCTCACAGTTTACAAGGAGGCTCCCTCTACTGACCTTGTCCAGAACAGTTCAGCTGTCCATAGTACCAGAGCATCACACACACAAAATGATTGTCTGGCAAGTGTTAGCACAACATTTCTAGATGTTCGTTCTTAAATTGTCTTACCAGATGTGAAAAACTTTTTTGTTTAGAATCACAGCTGCAGTGTTCCCAAATGAGTGCAGGAACTGGAGAACTAAGGCTTAAGAAATTTACCTGTTTGTATAAAGCAAGCTTACTTGAATAGACCACACGCAGCAATACAGGCCAACAGCCAGTGACAGTACTACTGTTGATTAACAAATTTGTATCTCCTTCCTCACTAGTTTTCCCTTGTGCCTCCTTTGTGATGTTGCCAAGTAGACATCACTTTTATATCAGTAAAAATAAATGGTGTTTGATGCTCATAGAAGTACAACTGCTGGTCATGTACAGCAGGGTGCCTGAAGAGACGATGATGGGCAGGCCATCTATGCTCCCTCTTTCTTATGGGCTTTAACACTACTCTGTAAAACTTCATTAGTTAAACTAATTACAATACCCTGATGTGGTATGTTCACTGGTAGTCAAGTTTCCTCATACTTAAAAGAATCACTTTAATATACCCATCTATCTGCAGAACTAGACTTTTAACTTCAAAGCTACATAACTTAAAACCAGAGCCTCATAAAAAAAATATTACTGACTCTCATTCTGAAGGTGGAAATCATTAATCCATATTCTACTATCTTGAAGAACCACCTTAAACAGCGTTCTGTGAAACAAAATCCCTTTGCTTCCAAGAGCTGTTACCAGAGAAGCCTGGGACAGACAGCTGTGAACTGAACCATGTGAAGTGGAAACCCACCATTTTTACGATGGCAAACAGACTGGCCACCTACTCTCTAGAGCATGAGAACCAGTATCTACATTCTTCTGAAGTACTACAAACAAAATTCAAATGATCAGAAGGACCACGTGTTTGTACAGCACACCTTTCCAGGTAAATTGTTACCCTATTGTAAGAATTAGTTGGCCTTGCTTGTATAGTCTGATTAGTCCAAGTATTTTATCCCACAAACCTGCAGACACAAGTAGATCTTAAATAGTCCCAAATGGAAGTGTCCAATTGTATTCTTACAATATAGATGCAATTGTTTAAGTGTGTAATTAGCAGTATTGAAATTCTGATGAGGTAAGATCTGATAAAGTTGTAACACCCGAAGTTATCAGACTATTTCTACACTATCTATTGTTCCCTCTGCTCCCTGAGGAGCAGTGGTACCCCATGAACAGGGAGCTCAGAGGCAGACAGACAAGCTCTAGCAAATCTTGCTGCTGCCAGTTCTGCAAGTTGCCACCCCTTGGTTTTGCCGCCCTGTACGACAGTAACCACTAGAAGAATCTGCAGTAACCAGTTGTGGAGGTCAGCAAACTGTCACTGCAGCCAGAATTTTATCAGTATGCTCTGAATTCATACTGCTGCTGAGAACCACCAAAATCAGTCTATAGCTTATGTCACTTGTACCAAAGATCCTTTTCAGAGAACCTATGTTGGAGTGAAAGGAGGGAACAACTTACTGGCATAACTTAATACCGTAGAGGGCTTCTACTATGTGAATCAACCAGGAAACCCAGAACCTAATGGAAAGAAAACATGTTTTATTTTGTTGAAAATTAGGGAAAAGATGGTTGTATCCAAGAGGCATTATGCAGAGAATATAAACCTGGAAGCATAGAATTAACATCTTACTTTAACGTAGAAAGGGAGGGGTATTTTTTATCTTAGAAAAAAATATGTGTACACTTAAAAGAAACTGAAGTTTCTCAGAAAATCAGAGAATGTAATATGTAGCTCAGAGAATGTAGCTCATGTAATATCCCTCAACCTGCTATTTCAAGTATCCACTGCAGGCTTCCAAAACTTTCAGCACTTAGATTAAGCCAAAACGACAAATGCTTAGTGAAAGCAGTACAAGTTAATCTTAGCTAAGCATGCAAAATCTATCCTTTTACTTACATGAGTATTTTTAGTGGTCCTAAGGAGCTACCTCAGTTTTTATAGATTTAGTTCTACGAAAACAACTGTATGTATAGATTCAGAATATATAATATGACTCGATGAGTCAAACTTGGTCTACCAATTTTCATGTGGAAGCTTTTAAAAATAAAAAGTTACACAGGATATTCAGTTAAGCTCAATTCAATACATTGCTAAAGCAAAAGGTGCTAAAGCAAAGATGAAGGTTTATCTTCTACACGATGCATGGTAAAATAAGTGAGAAAGCCCTGCTGATTTGTCTTTACAGGAAGTCAGCAAGTGACAGACCTGCTCACAAGGAAATATTTTCCAGCTCTTATGTTAATTAAGGTAACAAACTCTAAGTTTTGTAACCCAGCAAAACTCAGCACTATGCAGTTTGTCCAGCAGGTTATTTCTCATGGGGACAGGATCAGGATAAGTGAGTATGAGGGTAGAAAATGTTCTTTAATTGAAGCTGGAAAAAGAAGAATCCTAAAGAAAGAACTGGACTACTCAAGTAACAACTTGAGAAAAGAACCACTTTTAGGAGGTGGTACAAATATAACTTTACAAATGGACAAACAACTGTTGTCAAAAGTAATATCTTAACATTTTTTCCCTTTCTTGCTATAACATCACTGATGCCAAATTCTAAGCTGAATTTTTAAACTTTCATACTGGTCTTAGCCTATGTAGTCTTCTACATACTTTTTATCCCACATCCTTAATTATAATGAGCTTGAAAGGAGAGCTCTTTAAATCTAATTAACGATTGGGTTACAGGAAAGCTTGTTAACACAGACTAAGCACAAGAGACAGAGACAGGCAAAATAATACAGTCAAATATAACTTACATGTAGCATACCCATTTGTGGTGGTGTTCCACTAAATAATTAAGGAAGGTACCAAATATTCCCAAATAACTATAAGGTATAGTCGAAGGCCAAAGTGTTACCCACTAAAAAAAAAATATAAAAAAAATTTAGTTAGCTTACTTCAAAGTAGAATTACTATCAATTTAACCTTTAATGAGCTTTATTTTTGCTCTCCCCACCCCCCATGTCCATCAAACGTAGTTTAGGGCTTATTTATTCATAGTATTCAAACTCTTTCATTCCATTAACCTTGTCCAAGATCCATATTCTTCAACAAGGCAACTGGCCTTTGAAAGCACACTTACTTAAAAAGATTCAAACTATGAAATTTCTTTTTCTTGACATACAAGGTGCCAAGGGATAAGCTTAAGGTTGCTGTCTGGGTACCAAGAGTGCATCTGCACATTAAGTGGCATTTCAGTTGTAAGCTCATTACCCATTAGACATGGCAGCTGCAAAAAAAACATTGTCTCTGTCCTGAAGAAGACAATTTGAGGAAACTGACCTGAAGAATTCAAACAATGACTAAACTGTTTAGGAGGAATAACTATCTAAAACTAGGGGATCAGTCTTTCTTCTTTTGTCCCTTCAAAAAGAAAATGCCAGATTTTCTTCTGTTTTGAACAGGGTGCAGAAGATGACTGCTGTCCCAAGACCAAAGACGCGCATGGTTTGCTTCCCGGTCTCTTTCCTGTCGCTGTGTGCAGTGTTTGCCGTGGAGCAGAAGCAGGCGGTCAGTGAGCTGTGCCCTGCAGAGTCCACTGGGGGTGTAAGGGGAACGCTAGGCTAGACCAAGGTTCACACTCTGGTATCAGTGCTCCAGTTTCTAACCACACTTAAACGTAGCTATGCCAAGGACGTGGCAAGATGATGCATTTAAACAGGGAATCTGCTTAAAGCGCATTCTGTTTCTTGAAACAGTCCAAAAGCTGTTTTGTGAGCTGCCTGGCCTGCCTTGACCATCATTTTTTCAGCGGTGGTTCTTACGCTTAGAAAACCCAAATAGAAGGAAAACATGTGAAAGGATGACTTTGATAAACTTGTCAGATATATCAAAACTGTCGTTAATATCCCTGCTCCAGCAATGCGACTTATCTTAGTTGACGTCTGGTTTCAGAGACTCGCCAATTTTCCAACCACGCCGTCAGTTCGCACAGTTTGCAAATGCACTTTCCGGACTGACCTGCCCCAGGGCTGTCCCGGAGCGAGCTGTGCCGACACTCGGCGCTGTCAGTTTTGGGAACGCTGGACCCCTCTCCCGGGGCACCGGCACCGCCAACCGCGCCCGGGATGTGGCCTCACCGCCACAGCCTCGCCTCCCAATCCCACTGCTTTTTCCCCTCTGTACTCCCTCCATGGCTCCCTCCAGCCTCCTCACTGCCTGGCCTGGCCAAAGTAGGACGCTTAGTTTCCTTTTTCTGCCGGCTTATATTTAGGAAGAGCCCTTCCCGCAGACACCGGCACGGCGCAGGGAGCCCGTCCCAAGCACCGCGCGTCTTCCGAGAGACGTCCCGCCCGCCCCGCTCCCCCCCCCTCCCTTCCGCCGCTCCTTACGCCGAGGAGGACCATGCCGAAGATGATGGCGACCATCCATATGAGGCGGGAGCGCTGGAAGTGGCAGCTGCCATCGCGCCCCCGCTCCGCCGCCGCCGCCATCGCTCGGTGCGTGCTCTGCGCCCGGCGCGGCCCGCGCGCTAAGGCAGCCGAGGGCGGGGCGGGGCCGGGCCGGGCCACCGCGGGCCGGGGGGGGGGGGCTGGCCACGTCCACCCCCGGAGGGGGAGGGAGGGGGGGGCGGAGGGACACGGTGCCTGCCCCGCAGCCGGGGGGGCCGCGGGTTCGCGGCTCGGCACCGCCGTGTGCCAAGTGCCACACCTGGGGCACAATAACCCCCTGCAGCGCTACAGCTGGGGGCAGAGTGGCTGGAAAGTGGCCCAGTGGAGAAGGACCTGGGAGTACTGGTCGACCGTGGATGAATATGATCCAGCAGTGTGCCCAGGTGGCCAAGAAGGCATCCTGGCTTATATCAGGAATAGTGTGGCCAGCAGTACCAGGGCTGTGATTGCCCCCCTGTCCCACTGTCGAGTCCACATCTCGACTGCTATGTCCAGTTCTGGGCCCCTCACTGCAAGAAAAACACTGAGGTGCTGGAGCAAGTCCAGAGAGGGGAAATGAAGCTGGTGGAAGGTCTGGAACACAAGTCATATAAGAAGCAGCTGAGGGAGCTGAGGTTGTTCAACTTGGAGGAGACTCAGTAGTGACCTTAACTCTCCCTACAACTACCTGAAAGGAGGTTGTTGCCAGGTGGGATCGGTCAGCCTCTTCTCCCAGGCAAAAAGTGACAGGACAAGAGGACACAGTCTTAAGCTGCACCAGGAGAGGTTTGGGGTGATTAGACGTTGGAATGGGCTGCCCAGGGAGATACTGGAGTCCAGCCCTGGAAGTTGAAGGAAAGACTGGACACGGTACTGAGTGCCATGGCCTAGCTGACATAGTGGTGTTCGGTCACAGGTTGGACACGATGATCTCGAGAGGTCTTTTCCGACCTAAGTGATTCTGTGCCGAACGCGGTATGGAACAGCGCAGAAGCTGGAGAGAGCTTTCCAGCTTGACGCTTTGCCACTTCACTGCAGCGCTCCGCTTAGGGGTGGAGGAAAAAGCAGAAAATGCAGGAAATGGGACAATCTCAGGAGGTGCGGCCCGAGATGGACCTGCTGGTCCCGGGCTCCCCGCAGGGACCGGGGCGCCCTCCCGTGGCACCGGGAGCACCGGGCGGGATGGGGAGGTGCCTCCCGCGGGAGTCCCCGGGCCCGGGAGGGCACGGGACTGTCCCTGGGCCAAGGGCACAGTGTCTCGGGGCTGTCCCTGCGACAAGGGCACGGTGTCCCCACCGCAGCCCACCCGGGGGTCACAAACTGCAGCAGCGCTCGCTACGGGGCTAAAATAGAGAGGTGTTGCCCTTCTGCCACTGAGCAGTTCAGTCATTATTTGGAACAGTACATAATACCTTTTTGAAAACTACCAATTCAGATTGTATTAAATCCAGCATTTTCTACTCTATGCCCTTTTGGGACACTGGACTCGGAGATGAACTTGTCCAGAGAAGTCACCAGGACCTTGGGAAAGGTTCCCACGAGTGGAACTGTTGGCGGATGGGATGAGGGTTCGTGCTTTCCTTTGAACTTTGCTACCTTTTTGCTTGACAGTGACTTTGACAGTCTAGAGACAGTGAGGAATGTTGACTGTGCTGTTCCCTCTCCTCGCCTGACGGCTAAACACCTGCTCTTTTAACTATGTGTTAATGACGTGCTTGTAAAGCTGTTCTCTGCAACAACTAATGCAGCATGTCCTGACATATCCCCAGCATGAATCCTGTGTTTCAGAAAATGGTTACTATAAAAGGGTTAGTTTTGTTCTGTCCTGAGACTTCAGGACAGAAATCTTCTGTTTCCCTGTCTCTATTTCATTCCAGGCTGTTCCTGCCCAGAGCACCGTACGGGGTTTTTCTTGTTTGTTTGTTTTTCTGGGGTGTTCTTTGGAGATTATAGTAGGGTTTGGTAAGAAATTCCTGAAGTGGCAAAACTGTTCCTGGGAGCCCATCTACAAAACCCAGTGAGGTTGGCTACGTGGAATTCCACCTGCTTAATAAATTTCTCTGGTTTGCTTTGCTGATGCAGGAGAGCAGAGCGTGTGGCCCCACTTACACCTTAGTATCTCGCAGAAATTTCTAAAATTCTATATTTTTTTTAATTTTTTTTTTTTGTTCCTCTTCAGAACATTCTACACAGACTTCTGCCTGCCTGTAATTCCATGTCCAAAGGTTGTACTGAGATCCTGAGATGGGCCGAGCTTTGTGGTAGAAGTGCCTCGGACTGCCCCACACAAGGAGAACCCACCTTGCCGCGCACCAAATACCTCATCTAAGGAAGTAAGGCAAGTGTACGACAATGAAATCCAAAAGCATCTCCGTTGCCGAAGGGATGGATGTGCTGCTGCGCGGAGGTGACTGGAGAGGGCGGTCAATACACAGGAAAGATACGGGCTGTCTGTAACCCAGCGCTGCGGCAGCATTTGCTTTGTTAGGGTGGGTTTGGTGGCCAAAAGTGGCCAGGTGAGGTCAGAGAGGATGTCATGTCACCCGTTCTGCCGCACTCCCGTGAGGACTGACCTCACCGCGATATCGTGGGCGGAGGAGGGGGAGCTGGCCTCCTCTTCCTCCTCTGTTGCCAAAAATAATTGATTTATATTTTATTAAACCATATTCTTCCTGGGCTGGATAGACCATGGTCACAAAACAGCTTCATGTGTGACAGCAGCCCCCACTCGCTGCCAGTGACACAGGCAGCTCTACCAGCCCTGGGCAAGGACTTGAAAGTGAAATAGTTCATGAAGACAACCCCCTGCTCAGACCTTTTGTGGGGGGTGGACTTCTGGAAATTACATTTCAAATCCAGGACAGTGGCTTTGACCTGACTTTTTAAAAAAGGCTCTTTCTTTTGACAAATATATGAGTCTTTAGAGTATTTAAGTAGCTGAATAGAGTTCCAGTTTTAATAATTTAAAGCCAGAAGTCCTCTTGCATCATCTGGTCTGGCCAGCACAGGCCATTCAGTTTTATCTTGTTTCTCTGAATTGACCTCAGTGAGTGACTTGCTTTTACTTAAAGCATACTTTTCAAGGGACATTTTATCTTACTTTGAAGATGGCAAAAGACAGAAAATCAACTGCTTTCAATGATTATTCTTTCTTGTGTTTCTTAGGTTAGATGCACCTAACAACTACTTTTGAGGGAGTAATTTTCCAGAGTAGCTGAAAAGCTTGATGTTTTATATTTTGCAAATATTTGCATTTCTGCCCTCATATTTTGGACAGACCAGTTATCTTTGTGGCTTCAACACTGGAAATCTGATTTTTCAGTGAATCGCTTTTATTGGCAAGTATAATCTAAACTGGAAACTACAAATCCCAAACACTGTTACGTGAATTATTGAAAAAAATGCAGAACAAATTCACTTTGCCAAGTTTACAGGAAGTAAAACTGTTTCACCACAACTTCAGAGATTTCTGCTTTGACTTCCTTTCCTTTTCTCTTAATCAGTGCCAGAAAGTGACTGAATGAAGCCCTGGCACACCAAAATATCACCTGAGTGCAGACAGTGGGAAGCTCTGGCCATGCTTACTAGAAGCCAGATTTAGATTAATACTTTGGAACAGACATGTCAGTTGTGACAGGATAACCACAGCTCCATGTTCTTTCTCAGGCCTTTCCTGTGCTAGAGAACATGCAGATATTGGTAGCTATCAATTGACACAGCTGCCATCACGGTGACACAGCTCTGTAAGCATTTGAAGAAGACGAGCTATCCTAGCTTTGCCCAGCTTCAGGCTGCACAGATTGCTAAACTGAGTCTGTTTTTACAGTAGTCAAGGCCATAGAAAAGAGGGAAAGCATCATCTTAAAAACAAGCTTGAAAGGGAAAAAGCATATTCCTTCATAATTTCATACAAACATTTTTCTTTCATTTGCATTGCTTGGTTTAGATTTCAAATTAGTTTGGTATTAAAGCCATGAGTACTTATTAAGAATCTAAGACTAAAAGACATGTTTGCTACAAGATCAGCAGATAAGGTTACTAACCATATGGTACCATGAGAATGGGACGTGTGATCCTCTTTGACATTTCAAAGACAGCTACATTAATTTTTAAAAATGTTTTTTTCACTGAAGCTCTGTCCATAAGGTCCTGAGGTCTCCATGGTGACTGGGTGTGTACACTGAGTGGGTTAGTTCTGCTGAAAACAATCAAATGGACCTTTGCATTCTTTCTGCCTAATCCCTGTAAAACAGCTACCTCATTTCCTATGATGTTTATATCAATAGATCACTCTCTTCAGTTTTCAAATACTAAAGTTTCTGCTGCACCTAGTGGTGGAGAGAACTTGTTCCCTCTTCGGTTTAGAAACATTTGCTATCTCTAACTTAGAGATATTGACTATCTCACTTTCATTGGGAAGTACAAAGGGTATTTGCCAGGTAGTCTGCCTCTTTTGTTTGGTGTTCTTGGTAGATGCCAGAGACTAGATAGAGACATGTTAGCTCTTTCCTGTCTTTTAAAATTCCTTAAAATAAAGGGGGAGGGAGGATTAGTCAAATTCAGACCAAATTTTAGGGTGTGAGTCATTGTACTGGAGTCAGTGACTTGACTTCTTTAAACAGCAACTTTCTCTATAGGTAAGGATTAAGGGATTGGACTTTTTTAGGAAGTTACTTGAAAATGAACTGCAGCCAGTTTTAAACTGGATTTGAAGCTGATATAAAAGAGATGAGATGCATTCAGTTACCTACGTTACCTAAGGAGATGGAATTATCAACAGGGCTTTTTATTATCAGGGTTAAATGACAAAATGCTATAATGAAACTAACGCAAGCAATGTCTGATTCCTAATGTAACTAGTTAACATGGCTGTTCCCCTATAATTTTTAATTTTTAATGGGGACTTAAAATTGTATCACCTTAATCGTTTAGTTCTAAGACCAGAGAAGCTGAGGAAAAGTATGGTCTTTAAAAGTATTTCATGTTGCAGTTTGACAGGCATTACAGTTTTGAAGTTAATGGTCAAGATTTTTCAGCAGATTCCCATACTTGCAAAAAAAATGTGAAGTGTAATGAGATGTGCATTAGAAGAAACAATGTAGTGTGG